GAAGGAACCACTTTAACAAGTGAAGAGCACATTTATTCTTACCTTATTTCTTGTAGCAAATCTTTTCTTATTGTTATTTGTAATCTTGTGTGTATCTTGGATTATTTAGATAGGTTCTGTATCCTATCTCTTCCGCAAACAATCTATAAAATTTGTATTGATCTTCTTTATCAATATATGATTTTTGAAAGTGAAAGTTTATGTGTTTGTATTCATCCCCCGATCTTCTACAAATTGTTACTTATAAACTCTTGTAGATCCGGCTGGGACCAACACCTTCTCCTCCTGATGTATTATATACTCTACCTAATGAGGTGGTAGACATGTTTCGAGGCTTCCCTTCTCAGTGTCAGTTGCTTCTCTCTCAGTAAGCCTTTCTCCACACTGATCTATCTGGCATATTGGACACTATTACATCCAGGCTTACTACTGAGTTAAGTAGACAGGATGCAGCTATACATGCTTATGACCGTACTATTACAGAACTTGGGGATAATGTTGATTCAATTAGTGCTCGTCTGACTGCTATTTTGGACTCTCAGTCTACTATTCTACGGGACATGGTAGATCTTCATGCACGCTCAGACTCTCAGGCTGATGTGAATGAGACCATTCTTCAGTCTCTTACCAATTTACACTCTAAGGTTGATGCGCAGAATCAGGTATCCAAGATGATCTTAAAACGGGATCCTTCTAAAGTTTCTATCGACTTAGGTACCAGTCAGTTCACAGAGTCAGACATAGATTTATTGACTGAAGTCAGTCGTCGTGTTCAGTCTGATTCTAGTCTTTTGGGCAATCTTCATTGCTGTGTTTCTTGTCTACTGCATGCCACGGGTGCTCCTCTTACCCCCTCTTCTCATGCTACTACTTATGTGCCTTCCTTCATTCTCGTTACGGAGGAACCCTCGGTTGTTGCTTATATGCCTTCCCTCATTCCCACTGAGAGGGAGACGACAGTTGATCATGCTACCAGTGACAACGGGGACGACTCAGCATCTACCTCTTCTGCCTTTTTCTTCCTCATGTGATGATGACTCAGACATTGATACTTCTTTTGAGGGGGAGCTAACTGATCATGACAGAGTTGCAGTATCTGTTAAGGGGGAGCATCAGTAGGCCATTTCTTGTCAGGTTGGTATTACTTCTTCTCAGGTTTGTATTATTGCTTCTTCTGGGGACATAGTTCCAACTCATCAAGAAGGAAAGACACCCATGACATTTGCGGAAGTAGTGACATTTGAGTAAACTCGGAAAAGAAATGGTTAAGACATCAATTTGGGCGTGGAAAATGGTTATTTGAGTCAATTTCCTTAAAAAAATTGCTTCAAGTGGTTGAGAGTAGAGTTTGTTCATGGGTGGGACAACCCGATAGAAATACGGGTTTGGTCAACTATTATCAAGAAAATGGACGGGTCCGAGTTTGTTCGTTAAAATTAACGGACGAACATGGACAATGTAAAAATAAATATGGACATGTCCGTCCAACCCGTTTATATTTTATAATTAATATTTTTTTACCATTAATTAAAATTATACTAATATGTTTTAAAGTTAATTATTAAAGTTAGAGGATGAGATTATTTGGTTATTCTTGAGAACCCAAAAGGTTAAAGGATTGTTTGTTTACCTCTTAATGATCTCGTTAAGAGGTTCAACTCTAAATTTTGTTTTTCATTTCTTTCTCCAACTGTTGAGATCCATGTGTCACTTTAATTGATTAAATTTTTAATTGCAACGGTTTTTTTCTTTACTTCTTGGTTTCACATTTGTTAATTAACTGCTAGTGATCAAGTTTATAGATTTATAAGAGTTACACTTTTTAGTCCCGATAACCCGTGGACAAGCCCGTTCTGTTTACAAAACAAACAATGACAAGTTGTCAAGCCAGAAAAAGATAAGCTTAGGTTTACAATATTAGGTTCATTGAAAAAAAAAACAAGTTAAGCTCGATCCAAGCCTAGCCCAGCGCTGTAAATCTGTCACTTCTGTACTCTAGTCGAGTGGTAAAAAAAAGTAAAAAATAAATGTGATGGTGATCAATTAATTGACACTTGGCACAAAACAAGTTGGATAGCTAGAGACGCTAGAACCTTCAATATTGCAGGGGAGCCACAAACTCTAATGTCCTGTTCAAACTTGGACACGTTCCATCTTGTGTAGCCTCATTTCTAAGATATTTTCTTTTATTTTTATGTGTCATCAGATCAGATCGTATCAATATTCTCACATCTTCTATTTTTAAATTATTTTGATGATTTTAATGTTATTAATCATTTGGTTTAATAGTGATTTGATTAAGATTGATTAAGACGATGAAATAAATATATGTGAGTTAAAAGGTGCGGAGTGCATATTCACTTATCACGTTAGATCGTCATAAATGAGAAATCAAGGTGATGCATCCCCATTGCAGGGTTCCAAGAGGCTGAGCCCCTTGGCGGTGATCTGAAGGGGCTGAGCACCTGCTCAAACTCAAGATATGGTCTTCAGCATCAAGTATCAGCTGTCATTGAAAGCGAACTTTTCAGCTTATCGTTGAATGCTGTCTATAGCTGAAAGTCGGCCATCGTTGAACACGACCCATCGTTGAATGTGTAATCTGTGATGGCTGTTGGTCGATTGAATTCTAAGCTCAGATTCGGTTGTAACTGCTTTTCGACTTTATTCATTAACAGTTACAACCAGTTAATTGCCGTAATTGTTGATCTCTCTTATAAATACATAATTTCGTGATCTAAGTACTCTATATATACGAAAAATTAATGCTTTATTTTGCATATGGTTTTTCTAGATTATTTCGGTACTGATTTCGTGAAAACCCAAAGCATAATAAGGACAAAATATAACATTTAGAAAATGATTTTAAACACGATCTAAAAAATTATCCAAATAATATTAACCACAAAATCCAATTCCCCAACATTTTTGGTACGTTAAAATGTATATGAGAACATGCTTTGAATCTTATAAATTTGAGGACGTATAAAACTCATTATTAAAACAGTCATCATTATGAAAATATAGTAGACACATAAAATAAAATAATATAATAAATAAATAAAATGTGGATGGCATGGTTGCCATTTGACCTTTGACGGATACCAACTTAAAATTAAATTGCAAATTTCGTCCCTCAATTATTCATCAATATCAATAAATGAAAGTTATTTATGAAAATTGTATTATCATGTTTCCTTGTTCGATTGTATACCAAAGTTGTCATAATCGTCATGTCTCGGATCCTTTTTTAGATAGAATGACTATTAAGAGTGTGCAAAACTCAGCTTAAAACCGTAAACCAGACTGAGTTTAAGTTGTCTTTAACTGAACCAAAACTAAATTTATACTTGGTACTAATATATAATAAAAAAAAGTAGCTCGTAGTCCAAAATTTTTTACTTCAAACAAATATCATTTGTGTAAGGAATTATGCTTGAATCACTTGTTAATAACGAACTGAAAGTTCAAGCCCCATTTGGAACAAAATTAATATCAGAAGATTTGGTTCTTAATTATCTGATTATCATATTTTGAGTTTAGGTTCAATACTAGTTTGGTAATGTTGCTCAACCCTAATGCCTATTTGATTATGTTCTAATAGTTTGCATTTTTTTTTGTAAGGGTGTCCGGGCCAAAGCCCGACTAATCCCCGACAATTTTGGAGGCTAAACATGGCCCCTCTTAAATGTCGCCAACACTCCCCTCCCAGGACTCGAACTCGGGTTCATGACTATGCCATGCCCAAGCCTTACCACTAAGCTGGAAGGTCTTTGACATAGTTTGCATTTTTGCCGGTTGAATCTTCAACTATGATTGAAAGTTTTAATTGAGATAGTTTTTTTGTTAAGAAAAAAGTTAGTTCAAATTGTTTAATTTTAATCCTGAAAATGTTAAGCAACATCTCATGAGACCGTAATAGTAAAGATGTTGGAGGGTTACAATGACGTATTATATGCAATGGCTGGTAATAAAGATGTACAAAAAAGCTCTGACCCGATCCAAGTAAGCTTGAGCATGAACCTAGGCCATCATAAAGAAACACAATCACCCATTTTCACACCTAAAGGATGACCTGACCCATACAATTTTTTTTCTTACTAAAAATAGGGTTTAGGTGTGCATTTCAAGTTGGCAATAGATATGTGGTACAACCTGCTCGACCCATTAAAGAATCGGGCTTGAAGAACTATTCTCTGAAAGCTGAATGGGCTCACACGATGAAAAAAAATCGGACATGCCCACACAACCCATTATGGTATTATAGTTAATTATATTCTACATATGATTAACATATTACTCTTTTTTATTAAAAGATATAGAAGTAGCTTTGTGTTGGACCCCCTCTATTAAGTACCAACCACCTCCCAACTACATATTATATGTTGATATGTTATACAACACGTCTTAAATTTTGATCTTGAAATATTAGGTGGCTAAATATATTGTCACTGAAAAAACCTGGATTTTGAAAATGATATTTTATGTGGAAAGAAAAGTATGTAATTTAATTTTTTTTACATAACTTATGATTATATTTGTTTTGTTTTTCAAATATAAAAAATAGGGCCGTTAGCCCGTGCACAAGACCGGCTTATTTGTTGGGCGGTACGAGCAAGTTCTCAAACTTGCAAAAAGGAGTTTGAGTTTGCTCTATTAGGCTCATTGGAGAAAAAAATGTGTTAGACTCGATTCATGTCTACAAATGATCACCTCTACTCCTAACTGATCCTTTGTTTGGTTCTTAAGTGTCGTCTTGATGGCAAAATAAGCAATTCTTTCATAGATTGGACCGGTCGGATTTTTAACAAGTTATTGGTTCAAACTTAGTATCAATCTGGTCCGATAAAACATACAAGTTATGGGGTCTGGATGTAAATATGTAGTACTTAAGGGTTCTGGGTGAAAAATTCTGAAAATAGCATTTGAGCATTTATAAATAATAGCATTCTCCAGCAGAAAATTCATTATCTCGTTCGTCGATTATCCTGTTGGTTTGTCGCTACCTACCCATCTTTATTTCTCTCTTACAAAGGCTAACAAATTCGTTCTTGTTACAGCTAATTTGGGCATCTAGGGTTTCTGATTGTTTGATTGGAGATGGAAACAGCAACTGCTCTGCGGTCATCTTTTGGTACCTGTATTAGACCATCGAATAGAAACGATTTAGGGCGCTCTCGCAATGGATCTATCGCGTTTGCTACTGTCTCAAATAAGGTATAGCCATGTGTTACTTCGTATTTAAGAGACATACAGATTTTATTTGATTCAGATGGATCTGTTTGATGACTATTTATATATTCTTTGTATCATGTACTCTTTTTGATCTTTTTGGTTTCTCTTGATGATGTCAATACTGAATCCATCTCAATTACAATTTGTATCGATCTGTAAGTGGGAAATCGGAGATGGTTTGCTTCTTAAAATCAAAATTCATGAGAACTATGCTGGTTATTAATAGTTTTTTGAGTTCAAATTTTATAAAACGTCATAGGGAATATGCAGAGTTTAAACTAAATTTCTTAAGTTTATTTTGCGTTTGGATCATGGAGGCCTTGACTGAGGTCGATTGTTGCCTGTTAGAAATTATATACGAAATTGATTTCTGCATGGATATCGTTATTTTGTGTGTATGAAGCATAACCTGATGTTTAGTTGAATTGTATTAGTAAATACAATTTGTTGGTTATGTAAAAGGTGATTATTAGGGATTGGGGCGTAGAGTAGATAGATCAATTTTATTCATATGTAGAACCCTTTTCAAAGATTCCCAAACAAGGTATGGTTTTCTTTGAGACAAAACCATGTAAGGTGTCAATTTTTTTTTGGCTTTGATGATATGGATGCAAGTCTTCAATCAGAATCCCTATGGAGTGGGTGAGAGGAAAAATGAAAGACAAGAAGGATGCTATTTAGGTATTCATGAAAACATAATCTATCAACTACTCTCACTACTCAAAAAGAAAAAGAAACAAAGAGTTAAATACTTATTCTCCTGATGATCTACTTAACCTAAATAACTATAATCCTAAAGTCCCTATCATTTCTACAACTTGACTGAATGTTTGTTACCTAATATTTTGGAGTTGTTTTTATGTTTTTGTCTTCCCTGTTGGATATTGCTTCACAACTTCCCTTTAGGAGGCTTGGTTATTTTGTCTATTTCCTTATCCCTGAAAACAAGCTATTCTGGTGAATACTTCCAATCGCTACTTTTGTGTACTGTCATTTTTGTATGTACAGGGCTCTTCATGTCCGCTTTTCACTGTATTTCCGCGTCCATATCATGATAGGCTTGATATGTTGCGAATTGCAATTCGTAATTGCTTTGATGGTTAAAAAAGAACTGTAACAAGCATATTTTTGATCTTTCAGATAAAATATTCAGAGTTTATTTACTGCTATATGGTCCTTGGAGACGTGTTTAGCTCAGGAGTTGGAAGTTACACTAATTTGGACTCAGATATTAATGTTACAACTCCTTTTAATTGAAAATCTAAGTAATCCAATTAGGACAAGGGAAGGTAAGGCTGTGCTAGTGAACTGAATTGGAGTGGAATTGGTCTGGATCGAACATCAACTGGTGATACATTGTTTGGTTCTTGTTTCTTTTAAATTTTCAAATACGAGTTCTCTGTTAGGTCTATTCAAGACAGATTGAAACCGAGAAAACTGAAACCAAACCATTTTATTTGTTTTTCATAAGAACCCTTTTATATATGTTATGGTCTTGTGACTTTTTTCGCTGTAGTTGTACAATATACTGTTGATCAGGATTAGTTTAATTTTTAGATTGCACTTTTCTCTTTTTCCATGTAGCCATTAGGATGTGTTTATGTTCGGCTTTTGCTACTGCAGTTTTAATGAATCATGTAGTATGTGTGCTTGCTATATTAGGCCAATACCCACATGGGGTTCATTTTGGTTTTCATTTGAGATGCGCATATCACTAGCAGGTAATCACAGGACCAAACCTGGTGGTAAATCAGGAATGAACCATTAGTTGCAGTTTGATTGTCAGTTTCAGTTTTATACATTTCTTTTTTACTTTGGTTCAGTCTGGTTTTGGATGCGCACATCCTAAGGGTCAGGATTAGTTAGTTTTCTGTGATTTTTGTTCTTCATTGTATGAAATGAGAAAACTGGTTGTCAATTGGCAGTCACTATTTGTCGCTCTCTGTTATGCTGGTGGCAGTTTAAAATGATTAGTTCAGGCAAAATGCAGTTATGCAACATGACTTGCCTGCAACAAGTATTAAGTTTTTCATTTCTTTCTCCTGTTTATTTTGATGTATTTTTCGTGAGGTAAGCATTCTAACTGAAAGTTCCTTGATTGGTTGGCACAACAGCGCTTCCCTTCATTTTCTCATCCCAGAGTAGGACTCCGAAGTGTATATTTTCCGAGTAATAAGAAGAGAACTGCAATAAAAGCTTCATTATCTTCTGATTCCGCTGGACCTACTTCACCAATTGCTCCACTTCAGCTTGAATCTCCAATCGGACAACTCCTTTCACAAATTCTGGTTAGCCACCCACATTTGGTACCTGCTGCAGTTGAACAGCAGCTTGAACAGCTTCAAACTGATCGTGATGCTCAGGAACAAAATGAGGAACCTGCTGCCCCGAGCACTGATCTCGTCTTGTACAGGTGTGTAGAGTGTCTGGTGAAGTGATTTTGTTGGCATTTGTTAATTTACCTAGTAAAATTTATGCAGGAAGACTTTAGGGTTTAGATGTCTAATGAATTACAAACAAAGCATGCCCGGTATATCCCACCTTGAATTACGTTTATGGTAAAACTGTATATTGCTTTGACCTTATCTTGTATATGTTTTTAATGTACCTACTTCTTGTGTTTTATGTTCACCATGTGATTGTCTTTGTTCATTCTACATACTTGCTCACACTCTTGCACAAGCGAGAAGTCATTCACGGAAACAACTGCCCTACTCTTTATTGTAGAGATCAGGGATGTATGCATCCCCCCCCCCTCCATCCCACTTTTGAATAGAATTTACTGGGTTGGTTTGGTTTTTAGAAGCATGAGATGACATTTGCACCTTTTTTCTTTTCTTTTCGGTTCTGAAGCAAGTATTTTGGATAAGTCTAATAAAGATTCATGTTCCATGCAAGGTTCTCCAGTGTATTACACTTATGTTCTGTGTGATTGTTCCTTTTTAGGTTGTTTAATAAGAGATTCTTTTGTATTTGTAGACATAAATCTCACGAGCTTCCCCATACAAAATTACCTTGTACGCACTGCAAAAACAAAAGAAAAACACATGCCATGTATTTGGAAATCTAAAATTGCCACGAAGTGATTGCAAAAATGTATATACCTTTTGCTGCCTTTTCCTCTGTGATTACTGTTCAGGATTCTCTGTTGTGTGTTGTTAAGGTGGGTTGATTGCTTTATTTTGTGCTTATCACTAAAATGTTTATTCTGTGTCATCACTTATTGTTAATTTCTGCATAATTAAGTCATATAGATGAAGATGGGTTATATTTTCTAGTTGCTTCTGTTATTATTGAACGTTGGAGAAAATCATGAATCTGATTGGTTTATCGATCGTAAACACTTTCAGGAGAATTGCTGAAGTGAAAGCTAACGAAAGGAAAAAGACCCTTGAGGAGATTTTATATGCTTTGGTGGTGCAAAAGTTCATGGATGCCAATGTTTCTTTGGTTCCATCTGTAGCTCCCTCACCTTCAGCATCTTTCAAACCAGTCGACGCATGGCCCAGCCAAGATGAGAAACTTGAGCTGCTTCATTCCCCAGAAGCTCTAGAAATGATTCACAACCACTTGGCTCTGATTCTGGGAAATCGTGTCGGTGATTCCACATCGGTTGCTGAGATCAGCAAACTGAGAGTCGGGCAGGTATATGCAGCATCCGTGATGTATGGTTACTTCCTCAAACGAGTTGACCAGCGGTTCCAGCTCGAGAAAACAACAAAAATCCTCCCTGAAGATGTAGAAAAAGAAGACATTAATAGTAACATCCAACAGCAGGGGTCAGGAGACGAAAGGGTGCCAAATGCTAGCAGTCCACAAACTCACCCTGAAGTGAGTTCGTGGTCGGGTGGTGGTTTTACGCAAGCGGTGAAACCTTCTCGGTTAAGGAACTATGTGATGTCGTTTGATGGGGAATCTCTTCAACGTTATGCGACCATAAGATCAAAGGAGGCTGTTAGTATCATCGAGAAACACACGGAAGCGTTGTTTGGTCGACCGGAGATTGTGATAACGGCAGAAGGAACGGTTGATTCTTCAAAAGACGAGGTCATAAAGATAAGTTTTGGTGGGTTGAGGAGACTGGTGTTGGAGGCAGTAACATTTGGGTCCTTCTTGTGGGATGTTGAGAGCTATGTGGACTCCAGGTACCATTTCGTAGGAAATTAAGTTACCAAGCAGCAGCAGGGTTGTAATAGATTGTATATAAACTAAACAAAACTACTACCATGCCATGGGTTTGTTTCAGATTTAGCCACCATACAAACACTTGATTTGGATTTCGGATTCTTTTTCTTTGTTTAAACATGGTCATTTGCTCTTCATTTTCCTTGCTCTTTTCATCCTTCACATACTCCCTGTATGAAAGGTATGAATAGAATATAAAAAAACACACACATATATATACACATATTATGTATGATTTGTTGCGTGAATCATATATGATTTTGTACATTTATGATTTTTTTTTTCTATTAAATAGTTAACGTTTTCGTTTGTCTCTGTCTTTCTTTCTATATATAAACTTTAATCAATATAAATGATGAAGCAAATAATTATGATTTTTAAAACAAAAGGTATGAGGCATATATATATACACACACGTTCAAATCAACATCGTGTAATTTTAGAAACTGTGTAAACTAATTTTGACCAATAGAAAAATTCTATTTTTTTCTAATTAAATTTAATTATTAAAGATATATTGGTCATTTGCATTGTTTTAAATTAAATATGAAAGTTATTAATAAATCTTAATTAAGGTAACATAATAAGAAAATTTTATAAATGATAACATTTAAATATTTAATTAAATTATAATATTAAAAATTGGATTTTGTTATATTGTGTCTGGTTTATTATTGCCAAGATTCATGAAAATCGTAAGTTATTAGATTAATAAATCCATGAAATCAGTAATAGAAAAAAAAAATATTCATGAAACCGGTTTTATATATGGTAAAATTGGTGCATGGAGTAAGTGAAAAATAATTATGAAATGGGTGCATGATGAAACCGGTTTCATACATGGTGAAATTGATGCATGGAGTAAGTGAAAATGATTATGAAATGGGTACAACATGAAATGGGTGCATGATGATATGTGTGCGTGAACAATCTCATTGGACAAGTGAAACAGGGTGCATGATGAATAGGGTGATGAATTTACCATAATAGGGTGCATGATGAATAAGGTGCATGATGAAGATGTGGTTGGGTTTACCATCTTGCCCTTCTCGCTATTATAAAATAAATTTTTTAATATATATATATATATATATATATATTTTTTAATTTCCTCTATATATATATAGAGAGAGAGAGGAGCGATCAAATGAAAACCGTCTCATTTGTGTAAACCATGTAAACCAATTTCATCCATCCATTTTTTTGATCAATGGTCAAGATTAGTTTAAGTTATATTAGAAAATTAAAAAAATAAAAAATAAAAAATTATTTTATAATCCTAAAAAGGCAAAATGGTAACTTCGGTAGTGGTAATATTAATGGCAATCATATCATGTATATCGTAATATTAATGAAACAAAATCATTTGTAAAATAATATATTAATTTTATGTTCAAATATTATAAAAACATAACATCCATCATTAAAATAGATCAACAATAAAAATAAAACACACTATAATCAATTTAACATAATGAAACCTTTTGAATAATAAAAACAAATTTTACTACTACATTTCATGAACGAAATGGCTTAACAGTTTCATCAATACACAAATCAGCGTAATGCTAGATGAGACATTTGTCATTTTCAAGTTTCCGGTAGATGGATCCGTTTCAATATGAAATGGTTTCACTGTTTGCTAATTAAACAACATGTTCTTAACAATTATGAAATGGTTTCTCTGTCGTTATGCACCCATTTCATCGACAAAGTTTTTGCAATCCGAACACGTTTCATAGTTTTATCAATACACAAATCAACGTAATGCTAGATAAGACATTTGTCATTTTCATGTTATTGGTAGATGGATCCGTTTTAATCTAATTATGAAATGATTTCATTGTTTGCTAATTACACAACATTTTCTTAACAATTATGAAATGGTTTCACTTTCATTATGCACCCATTTCATCGACAAAGTTTTTGCAATCCGAATACGTTTCATAACGTCAATGCATTTACCATTACAAGCTTTGTTAACCATTAAGTGAACAAAATCATCCAAAAAAATAAATAAAAATAAAATGAAATAATTTCATCAATAATTGTTGCTAAGCAAACAAGACTATCCAAAAATATTATATTACGCAACCAGTTTATCCCAAAAGTTTCATAAAACAAGCTCCTCAATGAACGTTTTCACGAAACAATCTGCATACGTTTCATTATATTATTTTCCATTTTTTATTAAATTAGTGCCCTTTTTTGTATTACAACATATTATGTATCCTATTAAATTATGCAACGATTTAATGAATTTCTTTTTGCTATCTAAACATGAATATATTTCACTAATATTTATATTTTTACCGGTTCATGAATCTCTGTTAAGATTTGTTACTGATTTTGTGGATCAATGAATATAAGTTTTTGATCTTCATATTCTTACTATGTATAAACCTATAAAACAAATAAATATATTTAATTTTTAAAATACTAAATTAAATAAACATTTAAATATTACCATTTTTAACATTTCCTTTATTATGTTTACTCAATTAAGATCTTTTAATAATTTCCATATTTAATCAAAAACAATGTAAATGATAATTCAATCCTTAATGATTAAATTTAATTAAAAAAAAAGAATTTTCCTGTTGGTCGAAATCGGTTTACACGTTTTCTAAGAATTATGCGGTTTTTAGCGGATCCCACCTCTCTCTCTCTCTCTCTCTCTCTATATATATATATATATATATATATATAATCCTAGCATTTAAATTTAAATTAAATAAGACTAGGGTGTGCAGGACCGGATCAAATCTGACTGAAACCGGTTATATTTGTTTTAATTCTAAAAAACCACTTTTTGGTTCAAAAGTTGGTTTGGTTCTTTATTAGAACTAATGTTTGACACTATGCGTTACATGATGATAATAATCTTTTTTAAAAATTATTGAAGTTAGTTAATGCCACCTTGTTACCTTTTTGTTCTTTTAATATGTATATTGATTTTCTTTTTTGTAAAAATAGGGTCATCCAAATAAGATAACCGTATAAGTCAAGCCGCATGGGTTGACACAATGAATCTCATTCTTCTTTCTTATACATCTTCTTATTCTAATCTTTCATTCTCTCATCAATGTGGAATATCTCAAACTCAATCACAATTCACCAACATCTCAATTCTCATGATGTCACCCCAATATCTCATGGTTCTTCTTTTAATATATATATATATATACACACACACACACACACACACACGTACGCACGCGCATTGCACGATGATTAAAACAAATGTCAAATAAGATAAAAAAATTATGATGCTACATCAATTCAAAACTTGTGAATACTGAATTCAGATTTTACATTTGCTAATACCCTTTCAATATTTCAATATACTCAATCATCTCTTTCGATATTTCAGTTTATCATCAATGTGGGACCAAAGCTCAACCATAATCATTATTTGAGAAAATTCTAAATTCATATTCATGATTGTATTGATTCGATTCTAATGAACATTTTACATTCAACCAAATCGAAAGTGAAATATTACTTTTCAATAAAAAAAATTACCATATAATTTCAAAGTTACCATTTAATCCAAAAAATTGGATGACAAGTGTCGTAATTTTAGCCAACCAACTTTTTTAATCTTCAAGGCATTCACCTTCCTTTCATATATCTAACTACTCTTTCAAATATTTGTATCATGTGATGATACCATGTATGTCATGCTACTACCTTATAGCTTTCATTTATATATTCGTGTTGGACGGTAGCAAAAATGTATTATTAGAAAATTCGTATTAAGTTAAGATAAAATGCAATTTGATAATCGGCAACTAATTAGATGTAATATAAGACGATAAATTTATTAGGGTTGTTTAAATGTAAATTATATATTTTCATTGATATTGTTTCTTGTAACGAAGAGAATTTCATACATTTTCTTACTTTTTGTTGCAAAAATAATGTTTTGACATTAAAAATTGTTTAAAAATGGTTAGTTGCAAGCAAATGTGCAATATTAACTGTTATTATGAATGTACACAAAATTAGTCTTTCCAATTTTGCATTTTAGCTTATAATGCTTGTTTTACGACTTAATTATTAACGCATTCTGAAATAGATTGCACATAGAAATTACAATCAACACCACTATTCAAAATTTGAGAGTATTAAAATCTCATAAATCTTCATTATCTTTGGTTGTTCTTTTAGCATATTATTAGCATAGAATATGCTATTTTTTTAATAATTGCTAGAAAAAATGAGGTCGGCCAAAAAAGAACTTTGTAAATTATCACAAAACCCTTTTAATTTTGAAAGACATCACCTCCTACCTTGACATACACACCATCTCATTTCAATGGATTATATTATCATCAACATGGGACAACCGAAGTAACATCACAAAATTTTTAATGTCACTTTTTTAAGATTATTTTTTAAAATGAGGTCGGTGTTGATCCTCTCTCAGTGATTTGATGATAATCCTTTTTCACTTATACGTTGTATTTATGTTTCTGTCTTTTCAGTTCCAGCGATCTTCACTGAGTATGTTCAGTGATCGCTGAAGAACTTGCATTGTAAATCAATCAGAGACAACAATACTTCAAGAAGACAACACTCACACCAAAAAACCTTCAACAAACGTCGAAGACTGAAACTGAAGATTAGAGACTGACGAGTACGTGATCTAAAGCGGTATTCAGTGATTACAAGTCTGTCTACATATGTGTGAAGACTGCTCAAGCTTCAACGAATGATGAAGAGACCTTCAGGTCATTCCAGCATTCAGCGATCAAAGGAAGCTTGCTTAGCACGATTGGTGTTGTCTTGTCCTTATACACACAAAGGACAAAACCCATACCCTTATGAAAGTTGGTACGGTACGGAGCCGACTAGTCGACTCTATTATCCACCAACTTTAGGTAAGGATGTCTGCTCATAAATAGTGCTTGTTATACTATTCACTGTAGCAAAGGACAAGCCTTCCTCTTAAGGCTTGACACGCACTCTAACCCTACCATATTGCATTAAATGTTCATTTAATGCAATGGGTATAAATAAAAGGGTTTCTTCTCCATGCAAAGTGCGCGCAACTCACTCTCTAACCCTAATTCTTACTTCAATCATTTTCTAGCTTAAGTAAAGGATCTTCTCTTCAGCATTTCTTTTCTTG